GTAGAAACAAGATACATAGAAACACAGTAATGGAAACAGAACTACATAATAGGCACTCCTGTTAATTTGAAAGGTCAAAATGGACTCTGCTCAGTTGATGATTCTTTGTGTATTTGGGAATATAATATAAGGGGAGATGCTTGTCTAGGCAGCATGTCCTGAATCAGCATTTTTAAGATGTGAAGACAAAAGAAGTGGTGTATAGGCTGGGGGCTCAGAACTGAGAGTGATGGCTAAGAAAGACCGTAGGAGCTTGGAGCTAGAAACCTAATAGGGCAATGAAAGGCAGGCAGGGAGGAAATAGTTCTTAATGGCTTGGATAGGACAAGTTGGTAACTCCATGATACACATATGGATATGAAAATAAGTCCTTTTTCATTTTCACTTCTCTGATACATGTGGCTGACTTGTGATGCCTGGCCAGGCATGGGATTAGAATGAAAATGATTTGGACTTCTCAGTACCCAGTGGGAAAAGGAGTAAGCCCGAGCATCTGGGAGAGAAATCAAGCTAGGCCAAACTGACTGTGTAACCAGACTTTAATCTGAAAGCAAAGAAATAGAAATAATAATGAGGAAACGAGTACAGAGAAACCTGGGTTCAGAGGCTGGGCCTTAAGGAGTGGCTGGGCCTGAAGAACAGAGCTGCAGCCCCCATATTGCATTCAGTGACCATACTCCCAAAATGCCCAGGCACCTCGCTTGTAGTAATCAAAAGATCAGCAAGTACTTTTATTACACAATGGATTATAGGAAATGCTACAAAATTGAACTGAAAGTATTGTGTTTTCTGTCTGTGCCTGTCATGATGTTACTGTAATCCCCTTGATAGGACATTTGCAAAAAAAGTGTCTCAGAATATACCTGCTACATTCATATGTTCTCGATGAGTGTTCTTTCTCTTCAACCTCTTATTTCTTCTTCATAGGTAAAATGTTTGCTGAGGATAGCAAGATGTCCTTTTTGTATTAAAAAGAAAGAAAACTTGGAAGAACCCAAAGTTTTATTTTAGCCAATTTAAAATAAATGAAATATTTTGTCCATTTCTTAACGTATTTGTCTAAATAGGAGCGGATATTTATGGGAAATGTGTATATATTACCTATTTGATTCTCTGAATGGCTTATGGCCATAATTATTAAAATTAAAGTGTTTCTATGCATTCATTAGAAATAAACAAAAATGTGAGTCTTCGTTTATATTTTGGACACTTGTAAAAGAAAAGAAAATCCTACCATGATAAATTCTAACATCAAAGAAAATTACAGTTTTTCTCTTCTTAAATGAGACTATTCAGAGAAGCAAGATGCTTACGCACATACTTTGAAATTATCACCTGAAGCAGCAACTATTAAGCTGTCTTGTCAAGTGCTGCTTGGCTTGCATTTTTAATAATATTTGTGGTATTTTGGACTTTGTACAGACAAAAGCTATGAATTGCTTGTGTTAAAATCTTGGAAGATGCTATTTCAATTCTTTTTATTTGCCCAATTCATTTTTATTTGCTAGGAGGGTCCTATTAGTATATGTGATGCAGAAATAAGACTTCTATAAATGATTTAAGGCCAAGGATTTAAAATCTGTTTGTGTTTTTTATTTGAAGACTACTATAAAATTAAACTTAAAACAAAATATAGTATTTTGATATTCGTTTTTTAGAAAAGAGCTTTTTGGATGCTATTTCCCATTTTACCAATTCAACGAATATATATTTAATTTTGTTAAAGTAAGTTGATTATTTTTATTGTTTTCATTTGGTTAGTTGAGGTGCTCTTTTGCATGAAATTAATCATGACGTTCAGTAACCATTTACAATAAAGAGAAGGAAGGAAATGTAAGTACCATAGTTCAATGACAGAGTGCTGCAAGAGAGGCTGGTTTAGAAAATCAGAAGCTAAGTAGAGTTTATACACATTGGGAGAGAGTACAAAAGTGAGCATAAATGAAAGAACTAAGGCTTCACATAACATCATCACGTGAAAGTTGTTAGGTGAAATAAACTCTTGATGAAATAAACTCTCTTATGAATTTAAGAAACTCAGCGGTTTTACTTATATCTGTCCGATGGCAGCTAGAATTTTCAGAGGGGCCATCTGAGATATGTGACTTATGTGCATCTTTTGTGACTTCATATATTTGTCAGGTGAACAGAATCAAGAAATAATGCTTTATTTAATTTTGCGTCTAAAGAAATGAGGTTCTATCAAGTTTATTAATCTATATTGATGTCTGAAATCACATTCTTGATTTATTGAAAGTATGATTTATTTGCTGTGTGTGTTTCACAGCCATTTTTAAAGATTTAAAACAAAATTATATGTAGTTTTGTATACACAGATTCTATACAGGTTTAAGAAATTTCTTAAGTTATAATAACATCCTTATGAAGAAAAAATTTGGTTCTGTACTGTTTAAACAGTACTCATGGTACACTGAGTTCTCAGAAATGGAGTATTTTACTAGGAAAGAGATTGGCTTAGATCTCTTATTTGACCAAATAATGTTTTGAAACTGATGTAAGTTATATTTAATTTTTTACTACATTCTGTATATATTTAGAACTCTTAAGGTCATTATGCATAAAATACTGCATTGGTAAGAAAGATTTAATGTATTACCAGGATATAATAACATATCAGTATTTGAAATGACAAGGCTCTCCATATTACTAATCTATAATTTTTATTTCTATTTTATATCTGTCTCTAGGTTGATATTTATGGATAAATCTATGAGTAAACATTTAGTTATCCAATTTGTAAAAGACTCCTAAACAGATTAGTTCAATGAAATAAAAATCCATTATTAATTTTAAACTAATGAACTTTCTTTCAAGTTTATCACATTGATGTGTTATTTGTAACATGCCAGAATCAAATAAGTGTAGATTTTCTTGTTACATTTTCTTCTTTTCTTTTCCACATTTACTGCTTTTTTTCTCATTGTTATCTTTTAAAAGATGTTGTTCCTTTTTATTCTAAAACTTTATAGACTTTGTTAGTTTATATGCTTTCTTTCAATTATCATCCTTTCCTTTCATTGGTCTTCTTTTTTCAGCTGAGCCATCCTGCCACCTGTTGGCAGCTCAACAGCAGCTCAGCTTGGGCCAGGAATCGAACCAGCAGCCCTTTTGCTCAGAGCTCGCACTCTTGCGCGAGTTCTTAACCAACTGAGCCACTCTGCCGGCCCTCACTGACTTCTTGTTAACTGCATACACATTTGATTTTCTTTATTGACTCTGAAATACATGCTTTTCTAGGTAATATCATTTATATGTGTTCACCTTTGAATTGTGTTGGAGATAATGAATAATACATTATTAATTTACTTAATTTAAAAAAGCAAATATATATTCTTGCTATATAGCTCCTTCTCCCAATAGTATATATCAAGGGTACAGAAATTTCTGCATCTGGATTCATTTTTCTTGACTAGTTTTTCTGGTTATTTTCTATTTAAAAAAAATTGTTTTTCTATTTTGTATTATACAGTGGGAAGAGATTGGTGAAGTTGATGAAAATTATGCCCCTATCCACACATACCAAGTATGCAAAGTTATGGAACAGAATCAAAATAACTGGCTTCTGACCAGTTGGATCTCCAATGAAGGTGCTTCCAGAATCTTCATAGAACTTAAGTTTACTCTGCGGGACTGCAACAGTCTTCCTGGAGGACTTGGGACCTGTAAGGAAACTTTCAACATGTATTACTTTGAGTCAGATGATGAGAATGGGAGAAATACCAAGGAAAACCAATACATCAAAATTGATACCATTGCCGCCGATGAAAGCTTTACAGAACTTGATCTTGGTGACCGTGTCATGAAACTGAACACAGAGGTCAGAGACGTGGGACCTCTAAGCAAAAAGGGATTTTATCTTGCCTTTCAGGATCTGGGTGCTTGCATTGCTCTGGTTTCTGTGCGTGTGTACTATAAAAAATGTCCTTCTGTGGTGCGACATTTGGCTGTCTTCCCTGACACAATTACTGGAGCAGATTCTTCACAGTTACTTGAAGTGTCGGGCTCCTGTGTCAACCATTCTGTGACAGATGAACCACCCAAAATGCACTGCAGCGCTGAAGGGGAGTGGCTGGTGCCCATCGGGAAATGCATGTGCAAGGCAGGCTATGAAGAGAAAAATGGAACCTGTCAAGGTAAGGGTGTGCCTGCGTATCTGCAGGTGCTGTCTGCTTCAGTTGGATCATGTATATGTATTTTCTCAAATGATTATGAGTAAGTGACCTTTTACTTTGCTAATTTATGGAGATTATTTCTTTTCAAGTTTGATTTCTCTCTTTTCAGAATTTAAAAATTTCTGGCAACGATGGCAGGTTTAATGTTATATTTTATTGGCTATACATAGTTAATACACAGAGAGTGTCTTGCAGTGTAATATTTCATATTCATTTTTACTTTAGAAGTCCTATTTCTGAACAACTCAAACTGAAGGATGATTTCCTTGTATGTAACTTTCTTTGTATGATTATTATCTGCTACTCTACTGCTATTTTCTCTTCATGAAGAGAAAAATGGTACTTTACTTGCTATAAAAAATGCAAATGCAAATCTTAGACATGACTTGTTTTGCCATGATTTTAACTGCCTATTCTTCAGAAATAAGTTCAACCATATGAACTCCATAGGAAAACAGTTGCAAGGTGGCTGGGCTTAGTTTACTGTGTTGTTTCGATAGAATCGGTGTTACGTGCTTGCTTTTAAAAATTTACAGGTCATTTTTAAATGTGTAATAAGTAGTGCCCAAGAAAATAACTGCTTGCAAATAGAGCCAATTCAAAAAGGTCATTTCAAAGCAATTTGCACTTGAAGATTTTTTTCTGTTTTAATTTTTCTTTTAAATTGAAACTTGATCATGCATGCTTCCCTCTTCATTTGAAAATACCTCATTTTGCCCACAGTGTGGTGAGTTACCCTTTTAAATTGGATATTTAACAATGGCTTTTTGGAACACGATAGTATTTTATGTCAAAGTGAAGAACAGCTTATGAGGAAGAAAACGTTTTTTTCCTTAAAGAGAAATTGTTCATCCTTATGACCTGAACTTGTTTTCAGCATGATGTTAACATACTGAATAGGTGTTGAGAGTTAATGTGGGTTAACTAAGGAGAAAACCAAATGCTGAGGGTTTCCTTAACCCTAACTGGTAGCTTCAAGTGTATTTTTTTCCTAAATCCACTATAGAGTGTGCACCAAACTTGCTCAGGTTTGTTTAGGCCAGAATGTAGGTTGATTAAAAACCCAGGGAATAAAAACTAGGGAAATTACCTGTAAATTATAGTGACTTTGCTTAATTATTTCTCTCTAGAAACATAATGTACCATGTTTACATTTCTTTTTTCAGCATCAGCTTATATGTATTTTGTTTACTGCAATTTAGTGTATGGTTGTTTTTCCATGTAATCTACAATTCTCCCTACACACGCAGGCACACACACACACACACACACACACACACACACACACACACGTTTCATTAAATAAAAATTATGTTTCGGAAATGCTTTTAAGTTTGTCAGGGAAGTTAATTTGATTTTAGTCAGGATTGGATTAAAAGGAAAGTTCTAACCTTATCTTAACTTTTTTTGTTTTTTGAGCAGTCTTGTTGTTCTAAGGTGAGGATATACGTGATTGCGGAATCAGAAGCAGGAACTCAATATAATCTGTTGAATATGTTTTATTCTTTTCCCAAAATATTTACAGTATAGAACTTATTATTTCTAAAAAAATGTTTAGTAGCATTATAAAACAACATGCTCTATTTGATTATTTGTTTATATCATTTTAGAGATGACATGGTCACTTTAGTTCAGAACACAAGAACTTTTGTCTTTATCCATATTGCAGAGGGTATAAAATACCTCTGCATTTTTAGAGGTTAATTTTTAATTGTTGCTGGGATTAAAATATTCTGCAGGTGTTTATGATGAAAACATCTTAGGGAAGTAGTGTTTTGACAGAATGTTTCTCAGTGCGTGCATTTAATGTATAGTTTTCTCTTCTCCTACTCTTCAAAATTGAGGAGTAGAGACCTAACTGAGAGAAAGAGGGATATAAGGTGGAGGGCTACATTGTGGAAAGCTTCATGAAACTGAACTCTGTCTGAATTAATGCATTTGTTACCCCTCGCTAATAGTAAGAACAAAGGCTGTGGGGTCGTGAATGCTGTGAATTAACTACACAGCCCCAGAGGGAGTTCTACACAGTGTAGTCTAAATGAATAGTGCCTCTTGTTGTTTCCCAATGGACAAATGGTATGTGGCCACTCCATAAGGAATTTCAAATGTTTCTTCTGTAAATAACTCCTCTCATTGAATGAATATATAAATGTTGAAGGTTTGTTTTGGAGAACAAAGGCATCATATATATTCCCTAGGCATTTATATCTATACATAATAAGTATATACAAGTAAATTGTGTGTGTCTCTCTGTGTGTGTATGTGTTAGTGTGTGTTTGTTTTATAAAATTCCATAATAACTAAGTCATTCTGTAATCTTAGCATGCTTTCCCCCAACTTTTAAGTGGGGCATCTCAATGTTTTGGAATTATCTTTGATAGGCCAGAAACCTAGAAACTATTCTTAGCGTTTCCTTTCTGCTCACTACCTCATTCCAATCCATCACAAAGTGTTTGTAGAAATCACCACCCAACTGTCTCTTAAAATGATTCAAATCTCTCTTTCCTTTTCCTCCAGTCTAGAAGCATATCCTGTTAGAACTTTATTTTCAAACATAATGAATGAATTTAGATAAAGTTTTGATTTTTAAGCCATGTGAAAGTATCACCTCTACAAAAATGCAAATCCGATTGTGTCACACACTTATTCTCAGTCCCCACCTACCCCCCAACACACGCACTTTAAATACTTCAATGGTTTTCATTAAGATAAACGTTTTTACAGTAGCTTATGATCCTGCATTGTTTTACCCCTATTATCTCTCCAGACCCATCTTAAACTGTGTTTCATCCCCTCTCCTATACACGAGCCACACTGACTTTCAAAGGCAGTTGACTCACTTTCACTCTTTTGTCTTCTATGATTCTGTTTCCTTTCCTTAAACATTTTTCTACCTCCTTTATGCCCAGTTAATTCACCTAATCCTTCAGATCTGCGCTCCAACACCCGTCCTTGGGGAGACTGTCCCTGACTCTTAAACACGAAGTCAGGCCTGTCTCTTAGTTACTCATATCTTTCATAAAACCATTTAGAGTTATGATTTTACAATTATTTGTTATTATTTGATTAATGATTTTTTTTAAAGATTGTATTGGGGAATTGGGGGGGGGACAGCATTGGGGAATCGGGGAAGGGGAACAGACAAGTTGCTGTCCTTGTGTTCTTCAGTCTAGTTGTGGAGGACGTCGCTTTGTTGGCCCAAGTTAGTATTGTGATCATTGTGCTCTTCCTGGGTGAGGCAGTCACTTGCCAGCCATTGGATGGCGGCTTATGGCAGTTCATGAAAGCTCACACCCGCTGCCAGCCAGCCCCACTGCAGCCTACGCCGTCACTGGCAACTCATGGCAGCCCAGCTCCAGGTCGAGCTGTTGTTCACCATCTTAGCTGTAGAGGGTGCAGTGTCACTGGCCCTCATGTGGGATCTGAACCCTGGCCCTGCTGCTCAGAGCTGGCATCCCAAGCCAACTCCTAACCAATGCACCACTTGGCCAGCCCATTTGATTAATGATTTTACCACTCCCATTGGACTCCATAATCCTTGAAGGCAGGGATGGTGTATGTTGTCTTAAGGAATGATGAAGAAATCAAAAGGCAGGTGGTAGGGACAATGAATTCAAAAGAGAGGAAATAGAATGGGCAAAGGCATAAAATACTATAGGATTTTTAAATTATTGATTTATTTTACCTTTGTATTTATCAGTAGAAAATACCCTCTGTCACAAAATTGACAAATATGTCTTTAATTCCCCACCCCCCAACCCCATGGAGAGCATAATCTTTTTTTTTTTTTTAATGTCTTTTAAATTGGTCCCTTATTTGTCCTAGGATTCTCAGGCCAAATTTTCATTTCCAGGTATGAGATCATATGTAATTGGCATGTGATATATTAACTATTATAGAGGCCATCTGAATGATTTTTGTAGACCTCAAACATCACATACTGAAATGTGTTCATAATATATAATATGTATATTTACATTTAATTACTCAGTTTCTTTTTTTTTAATATACGATTGACATCTGACAATTATCTGCTTTGACTGAGAATAACCAGGTTAGAATTTAGCTCAGACTCCAACCTATTGAACTGTAGAAATCCCATCATTTTTGTCTTTTCATGTTGTTATTAAGTTTTCAAAATCCTCAATAAGGCAAAGGTCAATGCAGGCATTAGAGTAATAGATTTTGGTTGTTAGATAAAATTTTGCCCTCAGATTACTTGATTTCATAACATTAGTCTTTTTGTTTTATTTTCACACAAAATAAATTATAAAAAATTAGTGTTTTATTTATATAGATGCAAAAATATAACTCAGATAGGTAAAGGGGTATGCCTTGGTGTTAGAACTGATGTAATACATAGACTATCCCAAATGTTGTTTTGGTTTTTTTTCCTCCTTTCCCACTAAACCATGATTCCCTGCATCATTAACACAAGTACAGTAATACCTTGGTTTGAGAGCATAATTCTTTCTGGAAACAAACTACTTGTATTGCAAGACATCACTCATTTACCATGTTAAAATGTATTAGAAATGTTTGCTCGTCTTGTGGAACACTCACAAACCAAGTTACTCGCAATCCAAGGTTTTACTGTATTTGAATTTATTTCTACATCTTATAAGTAGTAGGAGGATACATGTATTTATAAAATAGTTAAAAATTATCTCACCTAGAAGGTTTTTGGCATATTTTATCAATCTTATTTTGCTATAGTTCTGTACTCTCTTTCCCCTGAGATAAAATTTTCAATATTTTCTAATGGAGATAATGTGCCTTGGCCACAGTGAGGCTAGAAAAGGAAGTCCTTTTTCATGAGTCTTTAGTTGCGCTGTCATGGCTGCCTTGATTTCCTGAATCATTTTGACTTTGGGGAAGAGCCAGAAGTCACACGGTGCCAGATCTGGTGAATAAGGTGGATGAGGATGCACCGTAATGTTTTCATTGGACATAAATTGCCATATAAGCGAAGTGATATGTGACACCGAGCATTGTTATGATGGAGGATTATTTATGGCACACTTTAAAACACACCTCAAAACACACCTCTCGGGCCAGCCGAGTGGCTCAGTTGGTTAAGAGCTCGCTCAAGAGTGCGAGCTCTGAGCAACAGTGGTTTGATGCCCGGCCTGAGCTGAGCAGCCTCTGAGCTGCCAACAGGTGGCAGGATGGCTCAGCTAAAAAAACCAAAAAACAAAAAATAAAACACACCTCTCAACTGTAGTTCACACCCAATTGACTGCACCAAACAAGTTGAAACTTGTTCCACACTGTTACTAAGGTTCGTCACACCATTTCCCATATTGAAGAGCCCTGCCTTTCCACTGGATGGCACTTGGCAGCAGCATTCACTGTATTGTATGATAACAGTGGAAAGGCTCCACGTCACACATAGCTTCTGTTACGGCAGTTTCTGCCCATTCAAAACATTACAATGTGTCCTCATCCACCTTATCCACAGGATCTGGCACTGTGCAATTTCTGGCTCTTCCCCCAAATCAAAATGACTGTGAAATGTAAATGTTTTCGATTGATTCAGGACATTGAGGCAGCCACTACAGTGCAACTAAAGACACTCACAAGACAGGACTTCCAGAACTGTTTCAGAAAGTGGCAAGAATGATGGGATAAGTGTGTTTAAAGCAAGGGGAAGTATTTTGAGGGGGATTAATGGCAATGTGTCTTTTACTGTAATTTTTTTTTATTTAAACATTCACTGTATTGTTTGATCATACCTCGTATCTCCTTAGTTTTTTCTCTTTGTTAATAAAGATTTGTTGAAACTTAATTAAGGATATATTAATGTTAAGAAACTGAAGTTTGAGTAAATCTGTTGTAATGATTTTCCTATATTAATATTTACCAATTTCCTACTAGGAGATGACCTGGTAGTTGCTGTTATAACATGCTCATGTGACCTGATATACATGCAGGGCTTGATGGAGTAGGCTCAACTGCTTTTAGAGTCTAAAGCTTCAGGATTCAGAATGCTAGGCAGCTCATTAACATAAGGCTTCAACCCAGAAGACAACCAAGAAGTGATTCAGGAGTCGCAGTCCATTTAGCAATTCATGATCTATCATCTTCATGCCCCCTCATTTAACTTCCTTTAAGAGAAACGGACTACCTTTCTCATACTAATCTGGTTTTAATGAGGTAACAAAATACCCTGGTTTCTATTTTATTAACTTTAAAATATAGAGTGCATTTATTTTTCCACAGCTTACTTTTATGCCTGAGTTTTCTATAATAAACTGCTTTAAGTATACAAATTTATTTCTTTGAAATGTTCTTTATTTTCAGAAACAAATAATGTATTAAGTCCATTTATACAAATATGTTTTCCTACTTTTTATCTATTATTATTTCTGATGAAATTCATGCTATTTTTTTCCTTTAAGAGTCATATGAAATTTTTTTTTTGAGAACAAAGTTGTTAGCAAAAACCATTTTGGAAGTTTCTGCTCTTTATTGAAGTGAATGTGTTTGACAGAAGCAATTGAGTTCACATGAATCAAATGTTGCCTGCTGAGTTCTCTTGTGATTATGTTGCTGACTTAGATTGCAAGGCAAGACCACTAATCTTCATCAGTTGCTAGTGGAATGTAGTAGTAATTTGAAATTACCCTAGATAATTATAGTTTCACTTATATCAAATGGAAAGATTTAAATTGTGGGTCACTGCCAAACACAGTCAGAGTGAAGAAGGTATATAATGCATGCTAAAATACAGGGTAAGGCGAGGAGGTTACATGCCGAGGGCTATGGAGAAAAAGCACTTATTAATTGTCCAACTGGGAGATGATTGCACAGCAAGGAAAATGTAGTAAAAATACTGACTCAAGAAAGAGTCTTGATTCAGAAACAGTACAGATACTGCAGGGAGTTGTATGTCGATCATTCATACTTCTGGTCCACATTTATGTTTGAAATGAAATTGGCTGGAAATATAGTGTATTAGGTGTTCCTGTAATTATGTATTGGAGAGCCTAGTTATTTTTAATTAGGCACATTACCAAAAAAAAATCAAAGGGGTTGAACTTTTGGTTCTATTTGGTATGTTCTTTTATGAAAAAAACCGGAACTAATTTTAATTTTAAAAATTTGACAAAAGGTGGCAATTATGGAAGTACAGAGTATCAATAAATTAGTGATGCACGTGTGTGTGTGTGTGTGTGTGTGTGTGTGTGTGTGTATGTCCGTCCGTGTGTGTCCTACTGCTGCAAGCCACCACCAAGGCAATTAAATAGTTCAATCATTTCATCCATTTTCAGGTATTACACGTGAGAATAACAAAATAGATTTTTTTCTTTTAAATTCCTCCCCTGAATAATTTTAGATTGGTTTATTAAAGTTTTAGAGCATTCTCTGCATTTATTTTTAGTTTTTCTTTCCTTTTTTCTTAAATCAAGGTTTCTCTAAATTATTTTCTAAACACTGGCACTATTGATATATTGATACTTTTTTGTTGGGGGAGGGAGTAGTATTGTTCACTGAACGATACTTAGCAGCTTCCCTGGCTTCTAATTCTGTAGGATGCAGTAGGGTGCTCTGCTCCCCATTTTGATAGTCAAAAATGCCTCTGCATATTGCCAAATGTCCCCTTGGGGGCAAAATCACTCCCAGTTGAGAACCACTAATCTGAGTACTCCCTCAGTCCACATGAGCAGATGTGCTGCTAAAACGAAATATGTTTATAGACAGGTACCTTTGCAAAAGTGAACTTTGTACTTAAAATCCTGCAGAATAAAGGAGGTATACATTTTGAAAGGTTATGAATTTAGCTTACATATAATGGGAAATATGCTTTAGTGATTTAAGCACATACATTCTGAGCCAGAACCCCTGGATTCAAATCCTACCTCTGCCATCTATGAACATTATCTACATCTTAAGCTCTAATTAAAAACAAATCCTAGTTACAGGAATGCGTATGTGTCTAATATAAAATAACGGGAGCTTCAGGTTAGAAAATTCTCCAGTTTACTTCAACTAGATACTATATTCTTGATTAAAGGACAATTATACATTTTTATTTATTGGTGATCAAAACTATGTAACTATATTAGAACCTTGTTTACAAAGAAGATTTGCTCTCTGGTTTGATATCATCACTCCTTCTTTAAGTTACTATTGTACTGGGCACTGTATTCCATCTGTGCAATTCCTGTATCTAGGATTGCAGGCACCTAGGCGTACAGACACCTATGAATTCACAGCTACGGTTACAACTGATGAGAGTTGGCCATGGCAGTGAGTGTGCAACGTCAGGTAGGCTGGTGAGAAAATGTTTTTTTTCTGAAAAGGTGATGTTTAACATAGACACGGAAAAAAATGCTAGGTAAAGAGCTGGGTAGCAATTAACAAGCAGAGGAAGCTCTCAGTGCTTTCTATTGTATTACATTCATCAATTTTGTGTCCGTCTCTTTTATTTATAAACTCATATTTTTAAAAATGCATTTGTATATTAAAACCTGAGTAATAAAAGAACTGCTGACTCCTGAGATTACCTACTAAAAGAGGTTATTCATGTACATGCTATACTATCTTAAGAATAGAAAAATTTTAATAGTATCTGGGGTCAAATACATGCATATCAACCATGAAACAATTCATTTTATTTATGAATAGTATTGGTGGGTAGGTGCTTGTAAATGATTACATATTGAATGAATGAGAGTCTTTTTTTTTCTTTTAAGAACTTAATGTTTCATTGTCCCAACAATGGTTAGTAACTTGTAAATCTTCTGATATAAATGCATAGTAAAAAAGGGAGACTTGGCAATGAAAGAAAGGGAATAGAAGAACCAAACGCTTTGTAATATTTCCTTGACAAACTTTTATTCTTGGTTTGCACTCCTAATTTTTCACTCATGAGAGAAAGTATACTAGTGAAAGTCTTGGGTCTCCCCTTCCCTCCTTCCCCCATCTCACTCTCTATTATATTCTCTCTCTCTCTCTCTCTCTCTCTCTCTCTCTCTCTCTNTATATATATATATATATATATATATATATATATATATATATATACTTTATATATAAATGCTATACCTCATATCCTCATATAGTAATAATAATAACTGCTCTGCTCTGTAAATTGAACTTTGGGTAGGCCTCTAGGATGTTTTATTGTTACAGTGGCACGTTCCACATTCGTGATGTGCAAATTAATGAACTTGAGCGCCTTCGTGATCATATGGATGGAGAAGCCATGATTATATTTATGTTCAAGTTGCTCATAGTGTACAAAACACCTCTTGATAATAAACATTTATTAAAATGAGGTGCCCTGGATAGGCTCCTTTTATTATAATAAATTAATATTGAAAGATAATTATCAGGAAAAACATGTTTAAAGATAAAGATCTTACAAAGGCCATACCTTAACTGGTTTAAAATCCTTAACATTTAAATGTGCTAGGAAACCAAAACATATTCCCAAACATAGTTTGCTTATTTTCTCATTATTGAGAAAGCAGCAAAAGGACTTCCACTAAGTCTCATAACATAAATCATTATATAATAGCTCTCATGAGAAAAGTTGTGTGTACCAAGAAATTTAATGTTGAAAACTCACTAAATGTGATTCAGTGTCAAACATCTCAGTGTCCGTTCTCAGATTCTTAAGAGCAAAAAATAAAAAAAAAAAGAATGCAAATAATAAGAAACAAAGTAGGCCATACATGCATAAAATCATTAAGTAGACTTAAAACCTTAAAATTGGTTTGTAAAACTCCCCAAAAGAGTTTTGTGTGCTGTAAGTAAAGGCATTGGGCTTTAAGACGATGAAGCCCTCGCTTCAAATCTCACTCTTCCATTTGGTAAACGTGTGACTGTGGCCAAATAAAAAAACCAGAATGAGCCCAACTTTCCTCCTATGTGAAATGTTAACTAATCCAATATGCACCTGCAAAGTCTGCCTGCACACTGTTAAATTCACCTCTTTCGTGAGTGGAATGTGGACGGCAGCAGCAGCATGACCTGAGAACTTTTTAGAAATGCAGAATTTCAGGCCCTATCCCAGAAAAACTGGGTCTGAATCTACATTTTAGCAAGATCCGTTAGTGTTTTTATGTACATTCAAGTTTGAAAAGCACTGATATAAGGGACTCCTGGAGTGAATGTTTTTTTCTTTATTTTACAGACTAGGAAACTGTGGTACAGATAAATTAGGACCATATAACTACATAAGGGCAAGAATAGAAAGATTTATTCTAATCTCTTTGAATATATGTCAAAACATTGCACTATCCATGTTGTTTCAGAACTATTTTCTATTATATTGTATTTATACAGCATTAAGTATTAAACTATTTTCTATTATATATTTATATATTGCTAACTATATTAAATGGTGTTAATTATATATTTATCCCTCCCTCCAGATGTTTCTTAATACACATGTTTGGTATAATTATAATTACATAACTTTTGATAGCTTTGGACCTAGTGATATTGTATTCTTTTTTTCTATTTCTGCTAATGTCATCTTGAGCTAGGCATTCCATATTTACTGTCAATTCTTTATATTATTATCATAAGTAGATAATATTGGCAAATTAAGGGGAGACTGAAAGCAAAGCAAAGCAGAGAAGAAAGTATAAATGGCACCTGTGTCTTAATTACTCCTGTTTAAGAATGACCTGTTCATTTTTGGGATGTTTGGGATTTTTAATTGATTTGTAGGAGTTTCTCATATGATTTAGCATTTTCTTCTATTATGAAGTATTTTAGAGATAAACTTTTATCTAATTCTGTTGTTTTCAACATTTACAGTGTAACACAATAATTCTAAACCATATTGTTGCTGGATGTATGTACAAGAAATTCTAATTCCATTGTGTGGTGCTGACCGAGGCATCAGTATTTTTTAAAAAGCTCCTTAGGTGATTGTAATGTGCAGCCAGGGCTAAGAATTATTGTAATAGTTAGGATTAAGGTTTGGTGGTTGCTGTAAATTTACACCCCAGAAGCTCACCAGGGAAGGCCACAGATTTTGATTCTTGAAGACTGGTTTCTTCCGCTCCATTAAGAGGCCACACACCCACAGAGCTGCTTTGGTCCCTGGCTCTCCTTGTACCCGTGGGCAGTGTTTTACCCAGTGCCTTCTTGAGGGTACAGCCAGCTCTTCAAGGTTTTAGGT